CGCAGAGCGAGGCCTACAACAAAAACTGTTACAATCTGGCCTGGTAATGCACTCAATGACCTACAGGACTGTTTTGAACAAACAAACTGGGACTTATTTCAACATCAGGAAATGGAAACATACACAGGAACAGTACTGGACTACATCAAGTTCTGCATCGGAAATGTGACTATGGTCAAAAACATTCGGGTTTACTCCAACCAGAAACCATGGATGACCAGCCAGGTCCGCACACTCCTCAGAGCCCGCGACGCTGCCTTCAGGTCAGGTGACAGAGCTCTGTACCGAGCTGCTCGAGCCAACCTGAATAAGGGAATAAAAACTGCAAAGGCTGACCATAAAAGGAGTATAGAGTCCCATCTGTCCAGTAACAACTCACGGGAGGTGTGGAAGGGCATAAAAAACATCACTAACTATAGAGGCTGTGAGGTGACTACAGGAGACCTGAGTGTATCACTAGCAGAGGAGCTAAACTGCTTCTTTGCACGCTTTGATGCACCACAACAGCACCCATCTGATCCTGCCGTGCCCCCACACCCACCCAGTTACTGCACCACTCCACTCACTGTACGGGAGCATGATGTTAGACATTCCCTCCAATCAGTGAACCCCAGGAAAGCTACTGGCCCAGATGGAGTACCTGGCAGGGTGCTCAAAGCATGTGCCCTCCGGCTCGCCCCCACCTTCACCAGAATTTTCAATCTCTCCCTGGCCCAGGTTGTCATCCCTCCCTGCTTAAAATCTGCAACCATCATCCCAGTGCTGAAAACGCCTACCATCACCAGCCTGAACGATTACCGACCGGTGGCTCTCACTCCGGTAATCATGAAGTGCTTTGAGAGACTGGTTCTCCAGCACATCAAGGACTATCTCCCTCCGAACTTTGACCCCTACCAGTTTGCATATCGCACCAACAGGTCCACAGAGGATGCTATTGCAGTAGCTCTCCACACCGCGCTGAGCCACCTGGAACAACAGCATAGCTACGTTTGAATGGTCTTTGTGGATTACAGCTCGGCCTTTAACACAATCATTCCGGACATTCTTATAAATATATTGGACAATCTCGGCCTCCCCCCACTCACATGTGCCTGGATAAAAGACTTCCTAACCAATCGGCCCCAGTCTGTAAGACTTGGTCCCCACCTCTCCTCCACTCGTATGCTGAGCACTGGCTCCCCACAGGGCTGTGTGCTGAGCCCCCTGCTGTACTGTCTCTACACCCATGACTGCAGCCCGGCCCACAACAACAACCTCATCATCAAGTTCGCTGATGACACCACAGTGGTCGGACAAATCTCTAAGGGAGATGAGACATTTTACAGACAGGAGGTCCTGGAGCTAGCAACCTGGTGCTCAGAGAAAAATCTGGCTCTGAATATCAAAAAAACCAAGGAGGTGATTATTGATTTCAGGAAGCGCAGCACCAACCTAGCCCCCCTTTACATCAATGGCGAGTGCGTGGAGAGGGTTCACACTTTCAGATTTCTTGGTGTCCATATCTCTGCTGACCTAAACTGGAAAGAGAACACCACAGCGGTCATCAAGAAGGCTCAGCAGAGACTACACTTCTTAAGAGTCCTTAAGAAGCACAACCTGAACACAAAATTGCTGCTGACCTTCTACCGCTCGTCCATCGAGAGCCTGCTGACGTACTGTATCTCAGTATGGTACGGCAGCTGCACCCTGGCTGACAGGGAGAGGCTTCAGAGAGTACTCAAGACAGCACAAAAGATAATTGGCTGCCCTCTCCCCTCCCTGATGGACATTTACACATCACGCTGCCTCAACAGAGCAGAAAACATAATCAAGGACTGTTCACACCCGGGTTTTGAACTGTTTGACTTGTTACCTTCAGGGAAACGCTACAGGTGCATCAGAACAAGAACAAACAGATTCAAGAACAGTTTTTTCCCAAAAGCCATCACCACACTGAACTCACACATGCACTAATTTAATAATATAACCTCCCAAACACCTGGACTTCTACTGTGCAACACTACTGACATTTCATACTCTCAGTCACCTTAACTACCTCACTAATATCCATAATGTGCAATACAATTGTGAAATACTTGTATTTTTTTACTTTCATTATTATATCTATATTGCGTTACATTTTTAATATTTTTAGTGTGTGTTTTCGTAAGGCGTGTTTTTGCACTGAAAAAAAGAGTGGCTCTTAATTTCATTGTACTTCGTATAATGACAATAAAGGCATTCTTATTCTGAATTCACTTTATGTGGGTCTGAGCCAGTCATTGCTGACTCGACTTCAGCTGGTTCAGAACGCTGCTGCTCGTCTTTTAACTGGCACCAGAAAACGAGAGCACATCACCCCTGTCCTAAAATCACAACACTGGCTCCCAGTTCGTTTCCGGATTAATTTTAAGGTTCTTTTGTTTGTATTCAAATGTCTTCATGGTCTCGCCCCACAGTACCTGTCCGACCTTCTCCAGCCGTACAATCCCTCACGCTCTCTTAGGTCAGCTGATCAGCTGCTGCTGGCTGTCCCAAAGTCCAACAGGAGGCTGAGAGGTGACCGAGCGTTC